TGTGGCAAAATCTAAATATATTTTTCTCGGATTAGCTACAGATTTTACCAAGATCTTTTTGATTTTTTTTTAATATCAAATATAATTATATTCGTAAAAAAGTCATGACAAACTATATTTATTTGTCTCGGATTAGCTACGGATTTTATCAACATTTGTTTTGATTTTTCCAATATCGAAAATAATTATATCTATATCAAATCTATATATATTTTTCTCAGATTAGCTACGGATTTTATCAACATTTCTTTTTTGATTTTTTTTAATATTTAATATAATTAGATCCGTGGTAAATCCATAGCAAATCCATATATATTTGTCTGGATTAGCTACGGCTCATCATACAGGTAGCGGAAGCTGATAGAAAGGGGTGATGAGCTCAGTAAAGGAGAAGCCTTCGTGATGAAATAGAAAGAGTTTTATCAAGATTTATTTTGATTTTTCTAACATCGAACACAATTAAATCTATAGTAATTCCGTGGCAAATCTATATATATATATATATATATATATATATTATTAGCTATGGATTTTATCAATATTTGTTTTGATTTTTTTAATATCGAATATAAATAGATCCGTAGCAAATCTATAGCAACTGTAGTATTTATAATTATTTAACAACGGATTTGCAACAAATCTTTGACTTCAGTTTTTTTTTATATTTAAAGAATAAGTGTTTACTTTTTCATCGCTAATCTTTTTCAAAAATATACATTTCGCCACGAATTAGCAACGACTTATCATACGTCACATCGCAAAAAATGTGAGTAAAAATTAAAAAAATAAGGTTTATGGTTGATATGTCGCAATTATTGATCGTTAATCACCAGTTTTCTAGTAGTGATTTTGACCGGTTTTCATTTAATATAGGTTTGAATTTGGAAATAAGATGTATGGTTTTGTTTGTTTCAATGAATTGGGAAAAGATGTTGGAAAGTAGAAAAAAGAATCAATGAAAGCGAATGCGACAAAGAGAACCCTCCATCTTTCCATTTCTACCTTCAACTTATTGCATGGGAAGTTGTGTGTTTTCCTTTTAACCCATCCTTTTATAACTACAAGACTTCAATTACAGATTTGGTCCGTGTGGTATCTTCAAAATTATAATTAACGTTAATTACTTCTGGTTTTGATTCTTGTGGTATGCAATTTTTTTATGACTAGAATCCCTATCATTAAAAGAGACCGTTAATTCAAGAGTAAAAACACCAAAATACCCTTGGTTTTGATTTTTTCTATTAAAATATCAAAAAGACATATACACAAACACATACAACACGTACAAGGACCAAACAAAAGTGAAGTCATTCGTCTCCCGTGAACCCTTTCTCGATCGGAGCTCTCCCCCTTCCCTTCCCCTCACCCATCTGATCAAAGCCCTTACATAAAAAAAATCAGACGATATTTATGGGAATGTCCACAAAAAACCCTTATCGGATGGATCTTTATCAGTGTTGATGGAGTTAGAATAGAAACGAAGTTGGAATGAAGGAAAGGAAGAGTGGTGAAGAGTGTCGATCGATAAAGCGGAGGGAGTGTGGTTGTCACGATGATTGTCTTCAAGGGAGAGAAGTAGGTAGCAGATAGGTGGTGGTCAGCGGCAACAAAGGGGAAGGAGATGAATAAAGTGGTGGTTGTTGGCAATGAAGTGAGAAACGACGAAGGGAGATGATGGAGGTGATTAAAGGAAGATGACGTTGGATGGGATACTGGGTGAAAAGGCGATCCATGGAGACGATTGATGGAAAAAGTAGGAAGGAGGAGTTTGGTCAGCCATGGTTGCTGGTGAGACTGAGAATGCAAGGGGTGGTCGATGAAGGTAGGAGAAAGAGAGTTTGAGATTCCATATTTGATACAGGAGTTTGGTAAGCCATATTTGGACCATGTACTTTTATTTTCTTGAACAGAAAACGTAAAAAAAAGGTATTTTGGTCTTTTTTACTCTTGAGTTAACTGAGTTAATGGACTCTGTTAGTGACAAGGACTAGTCATAACATAATTCATACCATAAGAACTAAATCCATAATTAATTGAGTTTAGGGACATCAGTCATAATTTTTTACATACTATAGGGACCAAACTCATAATTCTCTCTGACTAGAACTATTTCTAAAATTTTGTCTTTTCATTTTGAAAATTATTTTCAAACGAATAAGGGTAGACCTAGTTAGAAGTACACGGTGGTGCATCCCACGATTTTTTGGTTCTGTTGTAATGGAAAAAAAGAAATTACGTTTTTTAAAGTTGTTATCATATTGTCCAGTTTGGATGTCTTCATATTTTTTGAATCTATGTAATGGCTGGCATAAATGTTAGCATTTACAGATCTTTTGAAATAAAGAAAATGAAAATTTTATCGGTTTTGGGGAAAAAAATCTCCATCGAATTCTAGAAAATGGAACTCCAAAAAGTAACTACCACAAGAGAAAAATATTTTTTTATTATATTTCAATCAAAATGAAATTTTAAAAATTAAATGTTTAAGAGAAATAGAAATAATATTGTATTAAATATATGAATTTTAATAATATAATCAATATTGTAATATACAAAATAAAGACTTTTTAGTTGACGGACATGTTTTTAAAATACGTTAAATTTTGGAAAATCTGTTGATGCATCTCCAACCAAACCACTATAAACACGAACGCGTATTTGGGATTGCTTACTTAAAACAACTTATGGTTTTTTGTAAAAGTGTTTATCAACTTATGTGGTGGCAAATCGGAGTTTTATAAAAAGTACTTGGATTAGCTTATGACGGTATCACACCGGATAAGCTGAAAAAATAGATGAGATGCCTTTTTTTTTCATCCAAACACTAAAAACTCCTTTTTGCCAGAACCACATCGGAATAAGCTTATAAGTTAGAAGAACGTGACTTATCAAAAACTCGTTATTACAGGTGCCAAACCGGTATAAGTTTTTTTTTTTTTTTCATCCAAACACTAAAAACTCCTTTTTGCCAGAACCACATCGGAATAAGCTTATAAGTTAGAAGAACGTGACTTATCAAAAACTCGTTATTACAGGTGCCAAACCGGTATAAGTTTTTTTTTTTTTTTCATCCAAACACTAAAAACTTCTTATTATCGGTATCACAGCGGAATAAGTTAATAAGCACTTTAAATAAGCAATCCTAAAGACCTAAAAAATAAAAATTGTGGGTCCCTTGAACACTAAAAAAATTCAACTTCAACCGCATGCTAAAAACATTTTTAATAATAAAATAATATATGTATTTGTTACTAAACTATTTTATTAATGTATTAAACTATTAATATATATATATATACATATATATATATATATATATATATATATTAAAGGCCTACTTTATTGACCTCCAAATATAGAGGCCAATATTTTGAACCTCTATTTTTTTAGTGTTGGATTAGAGATAAAAACACCTCTATTTTTATGTTTTTTAGTGTTGGGTTGGTGATGGATTTCATAGAGGGATTTGTGATCTTTAGTCTTTATGGTTTATAGAATTTGGAATGAAATTAAATCAATTTTTTACAGATAATTTATAAAAAAAAATTATAAATATTTTATATTATATTTTTATTAATTGATTATTAAAAAATGTTTTTAACTTTTTTTTAAAACATTATAACATACAAATCCTACAAAATCTCATGAAATGCCAAACACCCAGCTCGATTTTAACTATAGAAAAAATTTTAAACCAAAGACAAGATCTAGATGTAATTCAATTTTAAATCCACTGAATACAATCAAATTCTACAAACCAAAGCAAGATTCAGAGATGATCTTAGCGATGGTTCAAATCCCGAATTTCTTCATTTCAAATACAAAATTCTTTCTTCATTTCGAACATGGGTTCTCTTTTTCCAATGATACTGACAAATCACTAACAATTTTATGAAAGATTATTTTATAGATTTATTTCTTATAATTAAATATGTTACGATTTGTATAAGCTTTAGAGATCTATCTTAAAGGTCGTAACATAATCATTTATTGTTTTTTAGCCACCTTTTTGTAGAGATAAAAAGATAAATATTTATTTATCTAATTTTATCTTAACAATTTATTAAAAAAAAACATCAAACATATACTAATGAAGTATGATGTACAAAAAACCTAATAGAGTTTAGTGTTTGAATTGATCAAATCATTAGATAATTTTTTTGAACAAATAAGTCCTTGGGCATTCCAAAATTTATTAAATAACTTCTTGGATTTTTTAAAACTTGTTATATACATCCTTATTACCTATAAAACTGGTTAATATGGTAAAATAATTGAAAATGTTTGAAAAAAAGCAAATGATCTTTCATATTTTGAACAATTAAATTCCTAGACTTTTTTTGAAAAAAAAAAAAGTATTTACATCTATAAAATGAAACAAATATACTAAAAAAGTACTTACATTTAAAAAAAATTATTGATGAAATTTATTTTAATTAAAAATAAAATATATTTTGTCCAAGATTTTCTATTAAAAAAATAGAAAATAATTTGATTAAATTACTAATAGATTAACGATAAAATTTAATTAAATACATAATTATTTAAAATTCGTCACTAGTGTTCATTGATATATATGTATGAATTACTTAGATCTAATTGATGGATAACTTTACCATCGTCAAATGTTCTAATACAGTAACATGTTAATAAATGTGAAAGATCGTGATTAAATTTTGTCGATGAAATTAATTATATATTTAATTAAATTTTTGTCATTAATTCGTAAGTAATTTAATTAAATTATTTTTTAATTTGAAAAATTATCAACGAATATATTTTATTTTTAATTAAAATAAATTTCATTAATAATGTTTTTTAAATGTAAATATTTTTTTAGTATATTTATTTAATTTTATAGATGTAAATACTTTTTTTATTTAAAAAATATTTAGCCACTTGATCATTTAAAATATAAAAGTCTATTAATTTTTTTCCAAACTTTTTCCACTATTTTTCCACTTAATCATAAGAATGTATCTAAACGACAATATTAATTTGATTTATTTTCTAATCCATTAATAAAGGCACCCCCTTCACATCCATAAATTACAATAACACCCCTCAAACATCTTCATTTTTAAATAGAAATCAAACGACACATTACATCTCAATAACCTAAGTAGGATTTGAACCACATCATAAGAGTTCAAATACCACCGCTCAATTAATCCTTATTACCCATTTCAGTCCTCCATACTTTCATGTGGGCATGGAGTTTTTGAAGAAGCTTCAAATGCAAAGGGACCCACAGTGAAGACATCATAAGGAAGTGGGTGAGCATCTGGGTTCGACAATGGTGGCTTCTTGTTAGGGACCAACATGGACCCCTTCACCCCACCATGAAGATCCGTGGGCTCGTTGCACGTAGCCATGGGTGACGTCAGCAGCCTCGCCTTGCACCTGTGGGACCCATAAGTGGTCAAAGTCTTTGGTGGCTTGATGAAGAAATACCCGTTCTTATCACTTGTACCTTTGACCCTCAATGGGTACTTTGTGTTGTTGCATGTTAACAGCACCTCAGCTCCTGTCTTAGTCAAACAAATGCATTACTGACTTGTACCATATGTATTGGACACAAACCGTCAGCATATGTTTCATTTTAACATCCAAGGAAAAGCTATAATGTGTATTGATTACTTGTACCATGGAGATCTTGAAGAGTACAACCCAACAATGCACTCATGTCCTTCAGCTTATAGATTTGTATTGCAATAATGCCCAAGAAAATCTATGATGTGCAGTGATAAGTTGTACGATGCACAAACCTGATGCACAATTGGGTTGTACGGTACAACCCAACAGTATGCTACAAGGTTATATTAGTAATTGTAGCACCCACGAAAACATTCTATTGTGCAGTGACTACTTGTACCATGAACATTTAGATCTATGGTTTTTAAGGGCCATTGAGCCAAACAAGTTCATTTGACTAACTTAGTGCATTTATGATTTGTACAGTGATGGATATTGATGCATAGTTGAAACGTACAGTACAACCCAACAATGCAGTGCTATATATAGATATATATATATATATATATATATAGAGAGAGAGAGAGATATGGATACATATAGAAAGAGTTAGATATATACCCTGAAGAGGAGTGGCACCCAAGAGTGTATCAACCCCCTTGTACTTGCAAGCCTTGCAGTAAACAACGCCCTGAACCGCCACCAACTTCCTCGCCGGAACCGGTGGATGGACCGGAGCCGGTGAGCTACTGGGTTGCTGAACAGGTGGCTTAGTGGGTGGCTGAACCGGGGGATGAACAGGAGCCTTGGTCGGCGTGTGAGACATGGGAGGAGAAGCAAGCTTGTGATGGTGGTGGTGGTGGTGGTGGTGATGCGGTGCAGGAGCTGCCACCGGTTGGTATGACGGCGCGTGGTGTGGCGCCTGTGTCCAGCTGACATTGTCATCAACACCATCACCAAAAACATTAACCATTAAGCAAGAGCTCAGAACCGAAAATGCAAGCAAAACCCTAAACCCCATTTTAGTGTGTGTGGTGTGTGGTGTGGGTGTGGGTGTGGGGAAGCGGTGGTGATATTTATACAGGGTTGGAAGTTGGAAGAGGTGGTAGCTCTCTTCCCATTTTACGTCTTGAAAGCAGAGGTGAGTGGGGCCTACTCAAAAAAGCATGCAAACATTTGATTTTCAATAAAATGTATTTTTCATATATAATTAAATTTTCTAAAAATCAAATTTTTACATTAAATAATGTCAATCGATTTAAGAGCTGTTTGGCGGTTCCTGAATGGTTTGGCACAGAATGGTTAAGTAGTCAGAATGGTTAAGAGGGCCATAATGGTTAAGTGCTGAGTGAAATAATGTTGTTTGGTAACTGTTCTCTGAATGACAACAAATTATCATTTTAACCCTCGAGACAAAGGAGTTCCAATCTAATCAAATTAAGGTTATCCAATTCACAAAAGAGTCCATACAACATAAAAGCACAGAATTGGTACTGGACTACTACAGACCAGCCCCCTTTAACCTAGCCAATAATCGAAATCCGTAGCAAACAAGTGTGCATTTGCCTTCAATTTTACAAACACTGTTTCAGAAATGCATTTGCTACTGTCCAATTTTACTTTTTTGCTAAATCCAAATATGAAATATTTTACACAATGGCATGGTAACAAGGGTTTCTACAAGATAGCAACCAAGAAGTGAACAGAACCAAGATAGCAACATGAAGCGAAGGGAAGCGATGAAATACCTGAAACAGATGGAGGGAAGCAGTAAGGGCAGTGACCGGAAGACGACCACCTGGAAGACGACCACCGGAAGAC